GATTTATATGGATAATCAATACATCCAAAATAGTTTACATCGTGTACACAATAATTACGGCACGTACTTTCTCCTCACTATTGTTCCCTCCTTGTGATCGCTGCGTGAGTAAGGGGTGTCTTCATTTGATAGGAGGATGCTAGGGTCAATCGTCACCGTGAAAGGGGGTTGCCCATCCAACTGATCGTAATCCTCGTCAGTCTTGTCCTCAACTCCGACGATTTTTCTTTTGCCTGGGAGAACCACTTGACGCTTAGGCTCATCAGGCCCTCTGCCCTTCTTTCCTTTGCTAGACATGTCCTTCACGAAAAAGACTTGCGTTACATCATTGGCAAGGACAAAAGGTTCGTCCGAGTATCCAACCTTGTTAAGGTCAACAGTTGTCATCCCACTGTCATCAATCATTACGCCTCCACCAGTCAACCTAACCCATTGGCACCGGAACAGAGGAACCTTGAGAGGACCATAGTCAAGTTCCCATATGTCCTCGATGGCACCGTAATACGTGGCAGTTGTTCCATCGTGTCCCATGGCATCGACACGAACAGCGCTGTTTTGGTTCGTGCTCTTCATGTCTTGGGCTCTCGTGTAGAATGTGTACCCATTGATCTCATATCCCTGGAATGTCGCGATCGACCCAGACGGTCCCCTCGCCAGGAAGGCAAGTTGTTGGTTGATCGACTCGTTACCCATGAGATGTTGTCGTAGCCACGCGGGGAAAGTATCAATGTGATGCCGTGTAATCCATGCATCGGACTTACCGATGTTCCTGGCGTGAACTAGAGCCAAGTGCTCCTCGATGTAAGGAGCTACCAATGAAGAGTGTTGCAGAACAGTGAAATGGGCTTTACGGAATAAATTGTTGTCTACCGTCGTTATTGCTTTCCTTCCGAGAGTTCCCTTTCCCCGTAGTCTCCCTTCATGGCGTGATTCAGGTACCCCGATTGGGCGAAGGTCTTCGATAAATTCTACGCAAAATTCGATGACCTCCTCTGTTCCATAACCCTTGGCGATGCTTGCCTCTGGACGAGCACGGTTACGAACATACTTCTTCAGAACGCCCATGTACCTCTCGAAAGGAAACATGTTGTGTAGGTACATAGGCCCGAGAATACGGATCTCTTTCACAAGGTGACAAAGCAGATGCGTCATTATATTGAAAAATGAAGGTGGAAATATCAACTCAAAACTGACGAGACATTGCACCACTTCATTCTGAAGGGCTTCTAATCTATCCGGATCGATGACCTTCTGCGAAATTGCGTTCATGAATGCACATAGCTTTGTTATTGTTGCCCGGACATTGTCTGGAAGGATACCCCTTATTACAACTGGTAGCAGTTGTGTCATCAACACGTGACAGTCATGAGACTTTAGGTTTGTGAACTTCTTCTCCTTCGTGCTTATTATTCGCTTGATATTCGTGGAGTATCCAGACGGTACCTTTATGCTCTCCAAGCATTCAAACATACTTTCCTTCTCTGCCTTGCTAAGAGTGTAGCTGGCTGGACTCAAGTAATGGCTTCCTTTCTCCTTTGGTTCCGGGTGAAGGTCGCCGCGTTGTTCCATATGCTTCAGATCATTACGTGCTTCCAGTGTATCTTTCGACTTTCCGTATACACCTAGGAAGCCAAGAAGGTTTACGCAAAGGTTCTTAGTGAGGTGCATCACGTCGATTGCGTGGCGTACGTCCAAGAATTCCCAATATGGTAACTCCCAAAATATAGAGTTCTTTTTCCACATCGCCGCGTGACCATCTTCGCTCTCTATATGCTGGCTTCCAGGCCCCTTTCCGAACACTACTTTAAGATCTTTAACCATAGCAAACATTGTTTTCCCGCTGCGATGTTTAGGCTTCGTACGGTGGTCGGCCTTATGTTCGAAGTGCTTGCCTTTCTTCCGTACCGGGTGGTTTGCTGCAAGGAATCGACGATGACCCATGTATACAACCTTCCTACAGTGCTTAAGGTACGTACTTTCTGTTTCATCCATACAGTGAGTGCAAGCCTTGTACCCCTTGTTGGACTGTCCGGATAGGTTGCTAAGTGCAGGCCAATCGTTGATGGTTACGAACAGCAGCGCTCGTAGGTTAAACTCCTCCTGTTTGTCCTCGTCCCACACGGGGACACCTTCCTTCTTCCACAACTGTTTAAGATCTTCGACCAGTGGTCTTAGGTACACGTCGATGTCGTTACCAGGTTGCTTGGGGCCTTGAATAATAATCGGCATCATTATGTACTTCCTCTTCATGCATAGCCAGGGGGGGAGGTTGTAGATACACATCGTAACGGGCCAAGTGCTATGGCCGCTGCTCATCTCTCCAAAAGGATTCATGCCATCCGTACTCAAACCAAACCGTATGTTTCGTGCGTCCTTTCCAAATTCTTTAAATTTCTGTCGATGTTTCGCCACTGCGAACCATCGGCGGGGTGTCTCAGCATCCCGTCCTGTTGACGCTCTTCAGCGTGCCATCGCAACATTCTAGCATTCCCCTTGTTCCTGAACAAACGCCTTAGCCGTGATATTATAGGGAAATACCACATCACCTTAGCAGGAATTCTCTTCTTTGTTAGCTGCCCGTCAACTTCTCCTGGATCGTCCCGTCTAATCTTGTATCGTAGTGCTTTGCAAACAGGGCATGCTTCTAGGTTCTCATACTCCTCACCGCGATATAGGATACAATCGTTCGGACATGCGTGAATCTTATGAACTTCCAGTCCTAACGGGCAGACTATCTTCTTAGCCTCGTACGTTGTCTCGGGCAATTTGTTTCCCCCCGGAAGAATGTTCTTGACGAGTTTCAATAAATCGCCAAATGCCTTGTCACTAACCCCATTTTTTGCCTTCCATTGCAACAATTCCAGAGTGGTATCCAACTTTTTGTGCCCCTGCTCGCAACCTGGGTACAACGAAGTTCTGTGGTCCTCCAACATCTTGTCCAATTTATGGGCCTCCTTTTCACTTTCGCAGTCCTCCCTGGCGTCCTGCAACATCTGACCAAGATCATCCGCAACGTCGTTACCATCAGCAGCTATTTCCTCCTCGCCCGTTTGATTTCCTTCAAATCCAACATACTGAGCAAAGTCCGGAATATTGTCGTCTTCCACTTCATCTTCTTCCATTTCAACACCTTGCTCTCCGTGGGATGTCCAACAATTATAGCTTGGCATGAACCCCGACTCAAACAAGTGGAAATGAATAGTCCTGGATGCAGAATACTCCTTCTGATTTTTACACTTATTGCATGGACAACAAATAAAACCCCTTTGCCTGTTAGCTTCGGCCACTCTCAAAAAATAGTGCACGCCGTCAATAAACTCTTTGGACCGCCGGTCAGCGTACATCCATTGCCGATCCATCTACATGAGTCAAAAAAACCGCACACAAATAATTATTCTTACAATAATGACAGTCATACAATAATTATAAGATATCTTTATTCATACAAAAATCATAAAATATTACACCAAATAATTCTTAAAAACTATTTGTAAAGTTTTAAACTAATTTTAATGTGTTTTACTTCTTTTAATTTTCATTTTAGTTTGTTTTCTATTATTTAAGATTAACTTTCACTAGAGTTTTCCTTCTCAACTATTTTATAAAACCTTGTTTAGCAAATGAACTAAATTTCTATATATTCTTTCTTCCCCACACACATTTTCTCTCTCATCAACTTACAACTAAATTTTGGAGACAAAAAAAAGTGTGCAAAACATAGGTGCAAATGTAGTATGACAAAAAAAAACATTGGAGGATGAAGTTGCAAACCTTTTAGGCACCTCCGATTTGTATGTAATCACCAAAATAAATTCAATAGAAATTTTGGCATGACCTCCCCTCTTTTTTGAAGTAATTTTGAAGCTTGCTCGGGCAGCTGGAGGAGGAAGAAGACATATATATAGGGGTGGGACTTTAGTCCCGGTTGGTAGCACCAACCGGGGCTAAAGATCACCGGGATCATTAGTCCCGGTTGGTATTACCAACCGGGACTAAAGTTAAGATCTTTAGTCCCGGTTGGTAGCACCAACCAGGGCTAAAGATCACCGGGATCTTTAGTCCCGGTTGGTAAAGTTAAGATCTTTAGTCCCGGTTGGTGTTACCAACCGGGACTAAAGATCCCGGGGGGGCCTGACAGGTCCTGACAGCATTCGAACCGGGACTAAAGATGATCTTTAGTCCCGGTTGGTAACACAAACCGGGACTAAAGATCAAATATGCCCGTTACCCTTTTGAACCGGGACTAAAGATCATCTTTAGCCCCGGTTTTTATTGTATCCGGGACTATTGTGGAAATCGGCCGACCGACGAAAGATGGTTTCTCCACCAGTGTCCATAGTCTCCACAGATTGTCGCAACAGTGCACTAAGCTTCATGGGCGTTGTGGTGACTTCTCCAAATCCAACCAAATCATAACTAGATTTACCGCAACCACACCCAAAGGTATCCACGAACCATAGCGTATGAAAATTTTACTGGTCGGATCGAGAGAATGTGAGAAGCGCAACCATGAACCTGAATCTCATACCACTATAACAAGTCCCCACAACCGAATAAGAGTAGCAAAGTTTTCGTTTCCATTTTCGATGGCATCTACAGTCTTCCCTTTGGCTTTCAGGCCCACTCCGCACTAGGCTCGCAGGCCCAACAACTCGACAACACACACATTCTTCTGTGGAAAAAGTACACCGAAGGTCCCTCATCTTGTCAGCGAGATACAAAATCATCCTCAAACCGCAAAACCAGATATATGGGATCCCTTAACTATACAAAACCGGTCACCCGAGGTCCCTCGGCGGTTTTGACGCCGGTTTTGTCCTACGTAGTGGCTGAGTCAGCGTGGGACCCCACGTGGGCCCCACATGTCAGGGTGCCACCTCATCTCTTTCCTCTTCTCCCTTTCTCTCTCACTTCTCTCAGCCGGCGACGGGCGGCGCTGTGGGGAGGAGGCCACGGGGGGAGGGGAGAGGAGGAGGTCCGGCAGCCGGCGTCGCACCGGCGGAGGCAACGCCGCCACCGTCAGCATCCTCGTCGCCGGCTGAAGGGGACGAGGCAGGGGGAGCGATGCAGCCGCCGCGAGAACCCCGTCGAGGCCGGCGGCATCCCACGGCCTACTCCAACTTCGTCGTTGCCTCCGCCCCCAGTCGTGGCACCCACGCTTCCCCGACCATGATGCCGCCGCCTCCGCCATGGCGTCATGAGCGCATACCAGACGCCGTGGTGCACCTTCGTCACCGCCCGGGGCACGCCCTGGACGAGGAAGAGGCAGGCGATCCACGGCGCGAAGAAGTCGGCGCGGATCGGGTGGTAGAACTCCCGCCGCACCGCCTCAAAGTAGAACACGACCTTGAGCAGGTATGGAACCGCAGCAGGAACGGCCACTTCTCGTCCTTGGGCAGCACCGTCGTCTCTGTCGCCCTCATCGTCTCCAGCTCGGGGCCTTCCAGGGTGTCGAAGTAGCGGTCGGCGCCGGGGACCTGCTCCGTCTCCTCCTCGGCGATGTTCGGCTCGGGGGCGTGTTAGACTAAGCCTGTCACATTTAGCTGGTTAGTTATTCATTTGTTTGTGCATCCGTGGCAGGTCATTGGATTCTGTCACGAGTTAGTTTCTCTGTTACATGTTGCATGAGCCAGAGGCGCGCAGAGTTCGCGTCATGGCCGAGAGTGCGTGTGCGTGTGGCTCGCCGAGAATGCAGCGTTGATCAGCACTTCGTGGGATGGCGCGGAGGAAGTGGCTGCCTGTAGCGGCTGAATAGGTGAAGCTGTTAGTTTGTTATGCATTTGGAGAATAAATGAGATAGAAAAACCAGAAAAGCCACAAGACGTTGCGCGGCACCAAAACCTGTTTTCTTGTGTTCATCTGTGTTCGTTGCTTTCACGCGCGTCTACACTTTTGTTTTTCTTGTGTTTATCCAAGTGATCGCGTGTGTGAGGGTTTTGCCACAACAGGGCGCCCTCGCCGTTGGTCATCTGCTCCTGCGCCGGCCGGCCACACAGGGTGGAGAACTGCCGCTCGAGGCGGCCGGAGAAGGTCTTGAACTGGTCGAACCGCGCTTGTCGCGCGTGCTGTCGCACCGCCGCGTCGTCTCGTCGTTCTTGGACAGGTGCAGGATGGGCTGCGAGTGGAACCACGTCTGCTTCATCAGCAGCCGCGGGGAGTGCGCTCCACCCTCCCCACCGCCGGCGGGTGCGCGTCGTCGAACCTGGTCTCCGCCGACGCCACGCGGGCATCGTCGCGGTGGACGGCCTTCGCCTTCGCCGCCGCCATCCCGAACTGCGAGAAGTGGAACCCCGACGGCGACACCGGCATGCTCAGCGACACGGAGTACGGTATATACGCGCCCTCTTGTTCGTACGCCGCCGACACCGACACGGACCGTGGAGCGTACACCGGCGCCGGGATGCTAATCACAACGTCCTTCTCCTTGCCCAGCATTTCGAGTTCCTTGCTCTGCTCGCTGAGCGTGGCCGTGGCCGTGGCGTCGCCACCGCCGCCGACGCAGTTGAAGCCGTCGATCACCTGCGAGGGGACCTCGATCAGCAGCGGCTTCCACTCGACGGCAATCGGCGCGGCCGACCGTCATGGTCTTCTCCTCCTCCTCCGCGGCGGGGGGCGGCTTCGAGCTCCCACCCGCGTGCGGATTCCACTCAGCGGCAACCGGCGCGGCCGACCGCCGTGGTCTCCTCCTCCTTCTCCGCTTGGCGGCCACCGTGGCATCCACGGTCGTCATCGTCGCCGCGGCGAGCGGCGCCGGCAAGGTGTCGCTGTAGGCGCTGGTGAAAGTGGTGGCGCCGCTCCCTCCTCTCCCTCCTCTTCCGCTGGCGGCCATCGGGGAGAAGGGCGGCGGACTTGGTGCAGCCGCCGCGTCACCATCTTGCCCCCCCCCCCCCCTCCCCGCCACCTTGCTCTCCTCCCCGCCGCCTTGCTCCTCCCGCCGCCGCCTTGCTCTTCTCCCCGTTGCCTTGCTCCCCCCGCGACCGCCAAGCGGCGCTGTGCCACGGCGCGCGGCGGCAACGAGGATGCTGACGGCCACGGCGTTGCCTCCGCCGGCGCGACGCCGGCTGCCGGACCTCCTCCTCTCCCCTTGCCCCGGCAGCCTCCTCTCTACAGCGCTGCCCGTCGCCGGCTAAGAAAAGTGAGAGAGAGAAAGGGATAAGAGGAAAGAGATGAGGTGGCACCCTGACATGTGGGGCCCAAGTGGGTCCCACGCGGGTCCCACGCTGACTCAGCCGCCACGTAGGACAAAAACGGCGTCAAAACCGCCAAGGGACCTCGGGTGACCGGTTTTGTATAGTTAATGGACCCCATATATAGTTGAGGGACCTTGGGTGTACTTTTTCCTTCTTCTGTAGCATGTCGTACAAGTGTTAGTATTAACACACAACACAGACAAAGATCAGCATAATGCAAAAAGTTAAAAAAATTACACATTTTTGTTGATTTTAGATGTTAGTTATACGCTGACTTACAGTATAAATACCGAAACAAGAAAGTGACCAGGAAATGAAATCATCCCCAGCCATGAGAACTGATAGGAATTTGAAGAATTGCGTTGGCTATATCTTCCTCGAAGAAGCTCCGAACAGTATCACTATCACATGCCGATTGTTCGTCATTCTTCCCTGGAATCCAATTATCAGCCAAGATCCTAATTTTGTTACCAATTCCAACTGGCCATCTGATCCGTTTCTCCACGAGTTCCCTTCCAAATAGAATGCTATGCCAACTATATGTAGAAGGTCATGGACGTTCAGCCTCACAAAAGTCACGATTTCGGAGATACAGTCCCTTGAGAACTCTGGCACACAACGTAGTGGGGTCTCCAAAAGTCACATTTTGTGAAATACTTCCTTCATTTCATCATATTATAATTCGTTTTTGAAAAATGTAGTAGTATCTTCAACACAAAATAAACATATTATCAAAATACATTAATGTTAGATGATTTAACTTTGTTAAACTTTCTAGGCGGAAACAGTAGCCAATGATTGTATGTTGATTTACAGTGGCCCAAATATAAAGAAAAATGGGCAGCTCCACCATTTCGATTAAGGCTCAATCATTTAGCCGACGGTCTACGAACAGGGACACAACATAAACAAATTGAGTGTTGAGCTTTGGCCCCATCAACGACTACCAGAGCATGAACTACACATATATCAACCTTCATCTCTAGCGTGTGCTGGACATGCCAACTGTTGCAGCCGTTGCGATTGAAGCAAAAGCAGCAAGTAGCCACGGCTTACCACGAGCAGCACCTCTACCAAATTGCTCATTTATTCTACGTAGTGGGCGACGTAGTGAGCCTAAGCAATCCTCGAGCGACAACTTTGACACTTTTGGACTTGTGGATTGTTTCTGTTCCTTCCAAGTTTCTCGTATAGGTAGAGCCTGCAATAAAAATAACATACAAGGTTAACTCATGATTCAGAACTGTTCACATGAGACCAATCAGACAGGCTTGGAATCTCATTTTTGTGGCCGTTTTGGCAGACAGGTGCTTTCTGTTTTATATTGAACAAACTTGTGCAAACATAAAGATTGCGGCTCCTCACAAATTTTCAAGGAGTTTATCACGGAGGGAATAAAATGGCCTTATAATTCATTCCCCCACTTGTAGTAAACAGAACGTGCTGATGAAAGGATGGCATATAAGAGGATGGAAAAAACTAATATTGCATTTGCATATAAGAGGATGGGACAGGCAGCAGCGCAATCAAAATATCTCTAGGTATCATGTGCTGACTGAATGTCTCCAATTTTAAGGCTGACAAATGAATCTGACCTGCTTAACAAGAATAACTCCACTCGCTCTTGCTTGAATAGCACATTGTCTTGCAAAGTTGCTAAATCTCGCCTTGTAGTAATACTGACTCATAAGTGCCTACAAATTATGCAGACAAAAAAATTTACATCTAAAGAAGAAATATAAGGATATGAGGAAGCTACACTTAGCATCAAAAAACTTACCCAGTCAAAGGTACCTATCATTTTCTCCAATTCTGAACACAGCTCTGCATTTATCTTCTCCAAAACTAAATTTTCATCCTGGACAATTGGAGAAAAAAGGTATCTAGCATAAAGATCGGGCAATCAAATAATGCATCAAAAGTAAATCTGTGAATAATAATGTAATCACCAACTCATTTTAAATTTTGAGTTTGAAATTTGGGAATCCAAAACAATTCAATATTCTAGCGGAGTGGTGGGTCCCACCAGTTATTACTGGTTAAAAGTAGTTCACATCCCACTGTGGGAACCAGTTCAGGCACAGAAGATGAAACCTTGATATGGCATCACATGGCAACAATAGTTCTGAACAAAAGTAGCCGAAAAAACTAGTGTCAAAAGTTCTTGGTGCAAACTGAATCCCCCAAAAGGACTCTAAAGTTACCTCAATTCTGCCAAGTTAGTAAAATATCAGCAGTCTACTATTGGAAAAATCATGTGCTCACTTCATTCTTCAGTATATGCAATAAAATATGCAAGTGTTTATCTAAGGATAAATTTGCATGACATTGCCGGTTAAGGGGAAAGCATTCCTCTAAATATGCAACATCTGGCAAGATGGGTTACAGCACTAGAAGGTATCTGAATCTCAGCTGATCACAAGAACAGTCGTTGAAAACAGATTTACTCCAAGATACATTATACAATAAACGGAGGTTCAATGCCTTCAATACAAATTAAGGAAATTTCCACATCTGGCTACCAGAGGGAGAAGATAAACAACACTTCCTCCAGTCATAAATGTTTGACATTTAAGACAAGATTCGGTCATTTTGTATACCTTGACCTTCCATTTTATATGAGAATAAGTTTATAGATCAAATGAGTTTACGACAGTATTGTTCAGGGCAAACCTATGCATACCATTCTTCTTATTTTTAAGCTAAGCATCTGTGAAATTGTTGATGGTCAAAATTTTAAAATTTGACCAAATCTTGTCCTAACTGTCAAATACTTATGACCAGAGGGACTATCAAAGAATATTAGAAACTTGATTTCTCTACTTATTTGCTGCTGTCAGCAGATGCCACCTTTTTACAGTGCAAAATGTGCATGCAGCACAACTTTAGTGACCATTTGAACTCCATCACATATTCCTTTAAATCGGACTGATTTGTCTTCCGTTTGTTCTAGATAGATCCAGGTATTTGTGAACCAACTATCATTTACTTTTTATTTTTGAAGAATCAAGTAACTAAACATGGCTGACAGATATGATTTAGTTCCCATTGGGGAGCAACAGATGTTATGTTAAGCGTCTGAATATTTTACCAGTTTTGCCTGCTGATATGACAACATAACCCCAAAGCATTAAATTATTGAATACATATTCTAATCTAGAATTGCATCAAAACATGAAAATCCACACACAAACACACACGCACATTCTATTCTAGGCATGGCATGTATGTATTTTATGTCATATTAATGCCAAATAAGATGCCATTCTACCTCAGGCATGGACAATGGGTTCATTTTATTCCCCTCGTGTTCCTTCAGAAGGTCCATGTGCCTCTGTGAAAAGAATGTACATATATTAAATGACAAAATTAGATTCATCTTATGAAACATGTTCAGCTTATGTAATATGGTAGCTCTAACCTTTAAACCAATTCTTAGCTCACTATTGTGCAGCACAGACCATCCAGTTGAAAATTTGAGCCATTTTAGTACTTCTTCAGGATCATTTTTCAGCTGCAAAAAGTTTGATCTAATTACAAACAAGTTCAGCATAATAGTGCATAATAATTGATCAGAATCTGATAAACTGACAGGTACCTGACAAATGTCAATCATTGCAAGACCTTTCCGGAATGCAGAATATCTCTGAGCATCATGCAATATCTGTAGAAGCATTTCTTTGTGCTGGGAAACAAAAAGGGAATAGCAACTATGAAAAACTTTGAACATCACATGTTCATTGCACATGCATTAGATGATAGAGAAGTGCAGTGCCATTCAGACAACAAAATATAATACTGGAACCAGGACACAACCATAACTTAATCGCCAGACAAGATCCTACATGCCTGAGTTAGTCAAACAGATTAGACCTGACATAGGCTGACAATCAAGATTACTGAGGATAGCACTAACAGAACAGAATGCTAGACCAGACTGCAACTGCAAGTACCAGGGACCATTTACTGGTCTGTAGAATGCAGTGGTGTTTAAGGTATTAAGGTGGTCTAAGGTGATGTACCCCCACTTCAGCACCATAGCATGCACCGCGTAAGACGAGGAGACACAATATGAGGTGCTTAAGGCATCATTAAGGGAGAAAATGTGACACATCAAACTTGGCTACGGTCAGGAAGAGGTGGTCATGACCTTTAATCGACACCCTACTGCCTTCAGTTGATGGAATAAGCCTTGTGGTCTTTGGTCTTTGTGGTTCTTTCTTACTTTTAGGTTGTTTCTCCCTTTTAGGACAGCATCCTTTTCAGTTTTGCTTTTAGCATCTCTAGGACAGCATCTAGGACCATCTCCTTTATGCTTTATTCAGCATCTAGGACCATCTTGACCACCTTTTAGACTAGTGTGGGCAGCAATTAGCTTGTAGCCACTATATATATGTATCCAACCTCCCTCGGGATGGTATGGCTTTTGAGTTTGTGAATGAAGAAAACCAGAAAATTACCCCACTCTGAGTGCCATCCTCTTCTCAATGAGAGTAACCATTGAAGTTCTAACATCTGGTATCAGAGCCACACTTTCCTGTAGGCTAAACATCTCCTGTTCCACCCCTTCCCAAGCTCGGTTGAGCACTTAGCCAGCAGCAGCAGCAGCACCAGCTGCTCCTCCTTCACCTTTCCCTTACCCCTCTCCACACAGCAGCCCCCCGGAGGCGCGCCATGTCCGACGTTCGGTCTCGGCGTTTGGTCGCCTCGAGCACTCGGCGTCAGCAGGACGCCGAGCTCGCCGCAGCAGAGGAGCGCAGGCGAGCAACAGCTCAGACCGCTGCAGCAGCAGCGAGGGCGGCCAGACTGGCGGTAGCGGAGTTGGCAGCAGCCAGGGCGGAGGCGGAGGCAGAGGCGGCGGAAGATGCGGCACGTGCGGCGGAGGTAGAGGTTGAGACCTTGCGCAGGAGCATCAACGGCTCCATCGCCGGCGACATCACCGCCGACAGGGAGCTTGAGGAGCTGGCAAGAGGAAGGGCGTGGGAGCGGGCAGAGCGGTGGGCAGCAGCCCACCCCCACGGCGGCGGCGGCGGCCCAAGGGGCCGCGCGCCCGCCGACGGGAACCCAGACGGGCGCGGGCGTGCCGGCGGCAGCCCGGAGCCCGCGCGCGGCCCTCGCAGGCAGCGCGGCTCTCCCTCCCCTGACCGGCGCCATGGTCACCACGGCGTCCAGACGGTGATTAGGGACTTTGGTCCCGGCGGTGGGTGGCCTACCCTCACCAAAACCAACTACATCGAGTGGGCCGCGGTGATGAGGGTGAGGCTCCAAGTACGGCACATGTGGGAGGCAGTCTGTCGGCTCCCAAAACTAACGATTCGGAAACCGATATGTTTAATTGTATCAAGCCCTGGATCAGTAGATTGATACAGCTTCAACAATCTGGATCTTCATTGCGTACATTTGAACAAAGCTCTAAAGGAGATGTTATTACATAAATTAATAGGGGAATTTACAAGATTGTGGCTAACTATTACAGTAGAAGCTATAGAGTGTCTCAACTCTAATATTTTGCTATAGACTTAAACCATCTAACTAATCTAGATCCGAGAACTAGGTTGAAATAAGATTAACTTATAGGATTGAACTCCTGGCTTCGGCAAGAACTTCAATTTAACTCTGGAAAAAGGGAGTTTGAAGCAAGGGTGAGTACAACGTACTCAGCAAGCTATTATATTCAATAATGCATGTATGAAAAAGTAATATTTGAGTAGGATTACGATTACTTGCAGAAGGCAGAGAATATAGAAATAGAAAGCCTGATGTTTTAAATGCAGCAGCATTTAGTAAAATCTTGAATTAGGTTTCTAACCAAAGTACCATATGAGTCCCGATACTCAATTCCGTGAGCACGGCTATTCGAATAGATTCATGTTTATTTTACTGCAGTAAATGTACGCTTTACCCGCAATCCATGACATGCCAATATTCATTAGCTTAGTCATGACAAAGCTTTTCGGCTACTAATATCAGTGGCACCTGTTCCATGAACTCTCATCCTCATGCGCTCTGAACGTAACGTTATCAGCAGCGAGAGGAGTTCTGGTGTTCCTGAGGTTTTTAGAGAGAGAACTGGTTGAGAGACCCCCGTCATCTCAACCAGGTTTTCACAATACACACACACTTGAGCTCAACAAATCATTAACCTGCGCCTCGGTAAATGTTATATTTGCCCTTCGCGGCATATGTTTGCCTCCTGCGCGAGGACTTAAATAAGAACCACTGTACAGAGGTACCACCTTTGCTAGATAACCTACTTTGCAAGGTCTGTCCCCATTCTAGAATTGCGGTCGTACTTGTTCGTTTGACATAAGTACTTGGTAATAACTATATCGACAGAGACAATACTAGCCACCCGGAAATCAACCAATTCCTACGTACTGTCCCAATCTAAGTTCATTATATTTTTATGCAGACTAACTAGGCAGGGCTAAGCAAAGCTAGCATATCTGGTTTGCTATATTCAGGTTATGCATTCAAAATTATGTATGACTAATGCATAGAATATCAAAGATACAGAATATAGGATCATTATGTTCAAGGGGAGGAATAATAACTTGCCTTGCTCCAACGCAAATAAATCCAAGGTAGGCAACCTGATTATCCGATCCTCGAAACACCACAGGTTGCCTCCAAAATATAATAAACTCTACTGAAGAAGAGGAAGAGCCAATTTCAATAAAATCCATAAAATAACAAAGGATCGATAGGCGGCTAAGAGAGCTAGGGTTTAGGGTATAATATCTCCTTTATAGGATAGGGATTATTGGGCTAACATTTTATGTGTGGGTTTTAGTTTCTTGGAGAGTAGGGGATATACTAAATAATCTAATTGGTTAAGTGGATATGTGGCTAGTATTGGTCGAGGTTGGGCTTTGGTAGAAGAATGGCTAGGATTTAGTTGTTCTCGAGTCGATGCTGAAATAGAATACTATATCGGCTCGTATTTCATGCATAGACTATGGGTAGTAGAAGGGTAAATGGTTGGTATGGAATTTGGATAGCAGGCTGGCTGGGGTTTCATTTGATTAAGCCGATATCGAGGTAGGATGAATATCGGCTGGGATTTGGGTGTTTGCTAGTCGTTGCTAGAGTTGGGCAGTATAACGACTAGAATTGGTATCTTCTCTAGCCGGTGTCAACAGACAGCATAACGGCTAGAGGGATAGGAGGTTTGTGTGGGTTTAGTGGGACGGAAGTGTTACTCCGACAACCGTGAGTGGCGGCAGAGCGGCTAGGATCACACAGAGCCCAAGAGCTAACTGTGCGGCGTGCTGTGGAGGTCGAGGGAATAGTGAAGCTTCGACCACTATACGCATCGAGGCGTGGGGTGCTAGGAACAGCACTTCGACCTTGGGTTTAGGTTTTGCCGGGCTTTACAACCAACGGTCCGACGTCGGGGATAGTAAACCGCGAGCGTCCCCATGGAAGGCGTAAAGTTCCAACCGGCGGCTTTTTAGTGGCTAAAGGGTATTTTGGGTTAAAAAGAAATATTTGAAAAGACAAACATAAATTCAAACAGTATTTGAATAAATTCAAATAAAATATTAAAATAGAAAATTTGGTGTCAAAAGGTAGGGTTTTAATTTAGATGAATTTAGGTACAAGTTTCACTGGAATCGGATCTACGGTTTAGGAGATATGAGCTTCTAAAGATTGGATTTTGAATTAAATAAGGAAAATATAAAATGTTACTGTGCAGGGGCCCACCTGTCAGTCTTTCTTTTTCTTTTTCTTTTCCTTCTTCTTCCTCCCGTTATCTTCTTCCTTCTCTTCTTCTTCCCGTGTAACAACAGAGAGAGAGAGAGAGAGAGAAGGGGCGCCGGTGCTCCGATGGTGGAACGGCTTCGACGGCGGCGGCCAAGCGTGTTCCCGAGCGACGCGCACCCGGGGAAGTCGGTGGCTGGCCGAGAGAGAGGAGGAGTTGGCCGGAACGGCGAGTAGAAGAGCTTCTCTTCGGCTGCAAGGGAGGTGGTTGTGGTGGCTTGATGGAGTGGATAGGGAAGAGGGGAAACTAGAAAAATGGATTCCCCTCGTCAAGGAAAGCCCGATGGCGCGAGGGTTTGGGTTGTGGAGCTGCGGTGAAGGAGATCGGCCGACGGCGACGACGGCCGGACATGGGAGGAGAGAGAGAGAGCGAGAGCTCGAGGAGCTCGGCTTGTGTGGAGAAAATGGGAGGGGTTGCCGGCTATTTATAGGCGGCGATGGTCGGTTTGCAAGGTCGGTTCGGAGGAGGAAGACGAGAAAGACTCGATGACGGCGGCGTGGAGAAGAAGGACACGGCGCCGGTTCTGTCTGCCGATTGGCCGGCGATGGCGGTTCGGCTCGGCGGCTGACGTCAGTGGCATGAGGTGGCGCTGACGTTGGGTGGAGATTTCTTAGCGTCGAAGGCAAGAGGACGGCGGCAGCAAAGCGCTGTGGGCGGCGGCGGCCGCGCGTACACGCGCGCCACACGCGCCCATGGCGCTCGGCGGTGGCGGCGCCCACAGGGAGAGAGGAGGCGGCTCAGCTAACTGGGCCGGCCTGGGCCGAGTAAGAAAGAAGGAGAATTCGGCCCAAAAACAAAAGGAAGGAAGTCTAATTTTCATAGAGGTTTAATTTAGAGGAGAGTTTGTAATTGGAAGCAATTTGGATGGCTAAGTTTTACAAGGAATTCGAATTCGGAGAATATTTGAATAAGAAGGTTTGGATATAATTTCCAGAAGAGATATTTTCTGGTTTATTTGAGTGCAATATCTTAGAGATGGAGTTTATTTAATGCACTCAAATAGAAATTCAAAATATTCAACACCATAAATAATATGGCTCTAGATTTGAATATTTTTGAGTATGTAGAGGGAATAGAGTAAATAGAATTTTAGCCCAAGATATACGGTATGGATTCTAGAGAAGTATTTGAGGCTAAAAAGAAAATTTGGATCCAGAATCAAGGATAGGTTTAAGATCAAAGGATGGGTTAACAATTAATTCCAAGAAAATTGGAATTACTTTGGTTTAGGTTCAAAGGTAGTGTTGGAGGATTTCTTGGACCATAATTCATAAAGGTAAAAAGGATTTTTAAACTAAATTTGAATAAAGGAAATTTTGGTCGAAAGAAGGCTTAAGATACAAAAATCAAATAAAAGAGAATACCTCAATTTAACAAGATCAATTTTTAGAATAAAACCACGAAAGATTTTAAATACCAAAGAGGGATTTTATGCATGTTAGTTTTAGGAGGTCCCTCTAATTATAATTTCTTAGGTTTAGGAAGTTATTAAAAACATAAGAATCGGCATGATGCATATTTAGAAAATAGCAAATTTTCAGTATGTTACACAGTCCGGTACGGCGACGTCGACTACGACGAGGATCGGCGGGCACTGGATGCCCTCATCGCTGCAGTCCCCCAGAGATGCAGTTCTCGCTTTCCCAGAAGTGGACTGCCAAGGAGGCCTGGGACGCCATTGTTGTGGCACGCATCGGCAGCGACCGCGCCCGCAAGTCCACACTGCAGGCACTCCGCAAGGAGTGGGAGAACCTGGCCTTCAAGCCAGGTGAGGATGTTGATGACTTTGCCCTCCGTCTCAACACTCTCTTGTAGAAGATGGTGCAGTACGGCGACGACACCTACGACGAGGAGAGAGCTATCGAGAAGCTCTTCCGCTGCGTCCCAGAGAAGTACAGGCAGATTGCTCGCTCGATCGAGTCTCTGTTGGACCTCTCCACGATGTCGATCGAGGAGGCGTTGGGTCGCCTCAAGGTCGTCGACGGTGATGAGCCACAACCTCTCTCGGGGCCTATCACCATTGGCGGGAAGCTCCATCTCACTCGGGAGCAGTGGGAGGCCTCTCAGGGTGACGGGAGGAAGGGGGAGTCTTGTCCCTCGACAGGCGGCCGCAAGCTGCACAAGGCACGCGGAGGTGTCCAGCTGCGGTGGGCGAGAAGACGCGCCGAGGGTGGCGCTCGCAGAGGCGCCCAGGGCGGCGCCGCCGGCAACCACAAGCCGGCACGAGACGACACCTGCCGCAACTGTGGCAAGCTTGGCCATTGGGCCAAAGACTGTCGACAGCCACGACGTGGCCAGGCCCACGTCGCACAGGTGGAGGAGGAAGAGCCGGCTCTGCTCCTGGCACACTCTAGCATCGAGCTTTCTCCAGCGGCACCGGCCTCAGGGGCTTTCCTCCACCTTGATGAGCCGAAGGTACTCGTCTCCCTCTGCAATGGCTCCAGCAACGACAAGGCTGATGGGTGGTACCTCGACACCGGCGCCACCCATCACATGACCGGTCGACGGGAGTTCTTCACCGAGTTCGACTCCAGCGTCCGAGGCTCCGTCAAGTTTGGGGACGCCTCCGGCATGGAGATCAAGGGTGTTGGCTCCGTCACCTTCACCGCCAAATCCGGTGAGCACAGGCTGCTCACCGGAGTCTACTACATCCCCGCGTTGAGGAACTCTATCATCAGCGTGGGACAGCTGGATGAGAACGGCTCACGCGTGTTGGTCGAGGACGGACTCATGAGGATTTGGGATCGCCGTCGTCGCCTTCTTGCCAAGGTAACCAGAGGCACTAATCGACTCTACATCCTCAGCGCGCAAGTCACACAACCAGTTTGCCTCGCCGCTTGTCGGGACGACGAGGCATGGCAGTGGCACGAGCAGCTCAGTGCCAAGGAGATGGTACGAGGCATGCCATGCCTTGACCACGTGGAGCAGCTCTGCGATGTCTGCGTGGTAATGAAGCAGAGGCGGCTCCCCTTTCCCCAGCGGACGAGCTTCCGAGCCAAGGAGCGGCTCGAGCTCGTGCACGGGGACTTGTGTGGCCCAGTGACACCAGCCACACCAGGAGGACGACGTTACTTCCTGCTGCTCGTCGACGACCTCTCCCGCTACATGTGGGTGATGGTCCTCAGCAGCAAGGGAGAGGCTGCGGATGCCATCAGGCGCGCGCAGGCCACTGCAGAGGCGGAGTGCGACCGCAAGTTGCGCGTGCTGCGCACCGACAACGGGGCGAATTCACGGTGGTTGAATTCGCGTCGCACTGCGCGGATGAGGGCATTCAGCGCCATTACACCGTGCCGTACAGCCCGCAGCAGAATGGAGTCGTCGAGCACCACAACCAGACGGTTGTGGGGATGGCTCGGGCTCTCCTCAAGCAGAGGGGGATGCCGGCCATCCTCTGGAGGGAGGCGGTGGTGACAGCCGTCTACATCCTCAACCGCTCACCTACCAAGGCCCTCGATGGCAGGACACCGTACGAGGCTTGGCATGGGCGCAAGCCGGCGGTTTCCCACCTACGGGTGTTCGGTTGCCTTGCGTTCGCCAAGGAGCTTGGCCACATCGGCAAGCTCAACGACAGGAGCACCCCAGGGGTGTTCATCAGCTACGCGGAGGGCTCGAAGGCCTACCGCATCCTCGACCCGGAGGCACAGCGTGTGCGCACAGCGCGCGACGTACTGTTCGACGAAGGGCGAGGGTGGGTATGGGACAAGGCGGTGGATGATGGTTCGACTCCGACGTACGACGACTTCACCGTCGAGTACGTCCACTTCGAGGGAGCTGGGGGAGTAGGCAGCTCTTCTTCACCGAGTGTGTCTACCCCAGTCCACGAGCCTCCACCGACTCCAACACCAACACACCCTCGGGCCACGACTTCGACTACGACGAGCTCTTCGTCGACACCACCCCAGCCGGTGTCCCCACGCGCTCCAGCACCAACAGCCACTCCTCCGGGCACGTCTACTCCGACACCAGCTCGTGTTGAGCGCAGCCCGATGGAGTTCGCTACTCCGCTCTCCCACGACGGGGAGCGCATCGACGCGTACCACGACGGCGAGCAGCTACGGTACCGTACGATGGAGGATCTTCTCGGCGACCAGCCGGTGCCGGGACTGGTGCCTCGCGACCTGGAGGCGCAGTTGCACCTTGCGTGCGACAACGGTGAGCCTCGGTCTTTTGCAGAGGCCGAGAAACACGCGGCATGGCGTGCCGCGATGCAGTCGGAGATGGACACGGTTCAGGAGAACCGCACCTGGGAGCTTGCTGACCTCCCTCGTGGTCACTGCGCGATCACCCTTAAGTGGGTGTTCAAGCTGAAGAGGGATGAAGCCGGAGCCATCGTCAAGCACAAGGCTCGCTTGGTGGCACGCGGCTTCGTGCAGCAGGAGGGGATCGACTACGACGATGCCTTCGCTCCCATGGCACGGATGGAGTCCGTGTGACTCCTTCTTGCGCTGGCTGCTCAGGAAGGCTGGGGCGTCCATCACATGGACGTCAAGTCGGCGTTTCTAAACGACGACTTGAAGGAGGAGGTCTACGTGCACCAGCCGCCGGGATTTGTGATCCCCGGCAAGGAGGGCAAGGTGCTACGCCTGCACAAGGCCCACTACGGCTTGCGGCAGGCACCGAGGGCGTGGAATGCCAAGTTGGATTCCAAGCTCAAGGGGATGGGCTTCGAGCAAAGCCTGCACGAGGCGGCCATCTACCGGCAGGGCAATGGAGGAAATGCCTTGCTGGTGGGTGTCTACGTCGACGACTTGGTGATCACCGGCACCAAGGATGCGGAGGTGGCGGCGTTCAAGGAGGAGATGAAGGCCACCTTCCAGATGAGTGATCTGGGGCCTCTCTCCTTCTACCTGGGGATCGAAGTGCACCAGGACGACTCCGGGATCACGCTTCGACAGACCGCCTACGCCAAGCGCGTCGTTGAGCTGGCTGGGCTCACCGATTGCAACCCAGCTCTCACTCCGATGGAGGAGAGACTGAAGCTGAGCCGCGACAGCACGGCGGAGGAGGTGGATGCTACACAATACCGGCGTCTTGTGGGGAGCCTTCGCTACCTCACCCACACACGGCCGGACTTGGCCTTCTCCGTCAGCTACGTCAGTCGGTTCATGCAGCGACCGACGACGGAGCACCAGCAGGCTGTGAAGAGGATCATCCGCTACGTTGCAGGGACTCTCGACCACGGTCTCTACTACCCGAGGTGTCCTGACAAGGCACACTTCGTCGGGTACAACGATCACGCCGGCGACATCGACGCCAGCAAGAGCACGAGCGGGATTCTCTTCTTCCTCGGAGAGTGCCTTGTTAGCTGGCAGTCGGTCAAGCAGCAGGTGGTGGCCCTGTCCAGCTGCGAGGCCGAGTACATGGCGGCATCCGCCGCTTCGACCCAGGCGCTCTGGCTTGCTCGACTGCTTGGTGATCTC